AAAGCAAGCATCCCATTTTACCTGGTTTCTTACTGAAGGGTAAATTCAGATCAACTGGTACACATTTTGTCATTGGGATAAACAAAGGAAAAGTGTCCCAATTGATACTACATACAGTAGGTTGGAGCTCATTTGTTAAACCATGTTATGCTGTTGAGAGTAGTACATTTGCTCTGAAGCTCTCTCGGTAAAGTCATACATTAGGATATATACTGTATGGTGCAAATGTTAAAACTAGGCCTGTCACAATGATAAATGTATCGACTTATCGTGCAATATTTGACCTCAATCATTTTTGGTGTTGCAATATTTACAAATTCACAAATAACGTTTAAAGGACATTTCCATTTTACCTCACCAATGGCAACATTTATAATTGGACATTTAATTAACAGGATATTTTATAGGATATATAATAGCAGATTTATATAACTTTTGACATCAAATTACAGAATCTACATATCATTAAGCATAAAAAACATTAGTCTCTTGAAAGTGTGTATGGCTATTTGCATTATTATGCTGTTATATAATCATTCTTATATCAGTGGCATAAAATGATTTCAAAATGACAATCACTTATCATAACAATTTTTGTGACAATATATCGCGCACCAAAAATTCTTCATGGTGACAGGCCTAGTTTACACTTTAGTACTCTATGGTAAAAGTTGTTTGAGATGATGATTGAGGAACACAAGTTATTGATTTTTTTGGACTGCCCCTGGTTTCACTGCAGATTAAAAAAAAAAAAGTGTAAGAGATTTTTTCCAAAAAAAAAAAAAACAATGTTATTATATTTATTATCATTTAATATTAAATTAAATCATCAAATTTTCTGACCTCATAACTTTGCAACTATCATACAGACCTAATAATGTTGGACTCATTTAACTCAGACTACCAATCTGCCAGACACTGAGGACCTTTCAACTTACTAGCCACACCCTAACAACCACTTACGGCACCCTAGCAACTGTCCCATAGAATTCCATTGTAAAAAAACTGTCATTGACTTTACATTGGACGTACGGACAACAAACCTTTTCATAGTAAAAAAAGAATAACAAACATACTAATCATACTAGCGACATGCTAATTCATACTATAAACATAATAGCAACATGCTGATTCATGCTAAATTCATGCTAACAACATGCTAGTTTATACTAAAAACATGCTAGTAACAATTTTCCAATACTGAGTTGCAGCTGGAAGGGTATCTGCTGTTTAAAACATTTGCTGGATAAGTTGGTGATTCATTTCGCTGTGGCGACCCCAGATTTATAATGGGACTTAGCCAAAAAGAAAATGAATGAATGAATGAATGAATGAAGGCTAGCAACATGGTAATTCATATTAGAACCATGCTAATTTATGTTAGCAACTGCCTAGCAACTACCCAGAACACCTTAGCAACCACCTACCAACACCTTAGTAACAGCCAAGCAACACCTTAGCAACCACCTATTAACCTCTTAGAACACCCTAGCAACCTTAGCAATGACCTAGAACACCTTAGCAACCGCCTAGCAACACCTTAGCAACCACCTAATAAAACCTTAGCAACCACTCAGAACACCCCAACAACTGCCCAGCAACAACTTAGCAACCGCCTAGCAACGCCTCAGTAACCACTCAGAGCACCACAGCAACAACCTAGCAATGCCTTAGCAACCACTCAAAACACCTTAGCAACCACTTAGCAACACCTTAGCAACCATCTAGCAATGCCTTAGCAACTACAAAGAACACCCTAGCAACATCTTAGCAACCACATAAAACACCCTAGCAAACTCTAAGCAACTACTCAGAAATAACTTAAAAACTTTAAAAACTACCTGGAACACCCTAGCAACCGACTAGCAATGCCTTAACAACTAGTAAAAACACTCTAGTAAACCTTAGCAACCTCCTATAGCAACCACTCAGAACACCCTAACAATTGCCATGCAACACCTAAACAAGCACTCAGAACACCCTAGCAGTAGCAACCATTCAGAACCCCCTAGCAGCCACTTAGGAACACCTTAGCAACCACTCAGAACTCCCTAGCAACCATTCAGAACACCCTAGCAGCCATTTAGCAACACCTTAGCAAACACTCAGAACTCTTTATCAGCAGCCAAGCAAGAAACACACTAGAAACATGCTAACCTATATGTACTTATAACTGTTTCAAACTTTTTAAAAAACTACTTCAATTATTTATACGTTAAAGCTACTTTAAACTTTCAGACGAGGTTTTCTCAAGACACCATAAAGCTTGATGCAAACTTTACTTTTTTAGTAATTATTATTATACATAAAATATTATAAAAGTAGGTGAGCTTGACAGGACATCACAGATAGAGTTATTGCACTATGAACTGCATGTTGACACATTGTAGTGCAACTATAAGCAACTTTCTGTGGATGGAAGCTGCTAAACGAACACAAATCCTAAACTGCCTATTTGTACTTGCAGAATATTTTTAGCCTAGCATTTATGCATTCAGCAGACACATTTATTCAAAGTGAATTTACACTGCAATTCAAGCTATAAATTTGATTAGTCCTCGCATTTCCCTGTGAATTGAACCTGTGACCTTGTGCTGTAGCAAAACGCCACACTCTACTGTTTGATCTTTTAAACGCTCTGGATTTTAATGACATGTTTTCATTGTCTTAGCATCACTTACTAAATATTAAATATGAAACATGACAGCTCTGTGTTTTATTCCGAAGACAGGCATTTTTCCAGACTGTCTGCACATTTTATCCCTGAGATTACAGTGGGTGTGGGCCCCTCAAAGCGGAGGATGGGCCAGAATCATGCTGTCAGGTGCATCCTCAAAACCTGCTGGTATTGTGACAGCTGAATTCCTGACAAGCACTATCACTCTATCACACACGCGCACACACACTTTCTCATTCCTTAAAGTTAAGCCAGGCTAATCTACTCCTCTCCACACCTACATAACCTTGTGTTACACTGTGCTCTTCGTATGAGAATGTTACATTACATCTCATATCAAATAATTCTCCTGCAATGACATGCTTGAAATTATTCTGTGCAAACTGAAATGTCACAACTATTTCAAGCACTCGCTTCAATTAATCTAGAGCTCATACCTGGAAATTTGATTGCATACATATGATGTATTAGAATATATTGTTTCCTTAAGAACTTTAGCTGCATGATATATATCACAGCTTTTGCTTGAGGACACAGATTTTACATGCAACTTTTAATCAAGCACAGGGATTAATTAATATTTTCATATGGAGTTAACAATGTAAATGTTTTAACATTACAGGTTAAATAAAAAAAAAAATAGTGTGATTTTGTTGCATAAAGGCTTTGTTGCATATTGTATATTATTAGCCATCATGTTGTGTGACATATACTCACTGGCCACTTTATTAGGTACACCTATCCAACTGCTTGTTAAAGCAAATATCTAATCAGCTAATCACATGGCAGCAACTCAATGCATTTGGGCGTGTAGACATGGTCAAGACGATCTGCTGCAGATTAAACCGAGTGTCAGAATGGGGAAGAAAGGTGATTTAAGTGACTTTGAACGTGGCATGATTGTTTGTGCCAGACAGACTGGTCTGAGTATTTTAGAAACTGCTGATCTACTGGGATTTTCAAGCACAACCATCTCTAGGGTTTACAGTAAATGGTCCAACAAAGAGAAACTAAATCTAGTGCGCATCAGTTCTGTGGGCGCAAATGCCTTGTTGATGCCAGAGGACTGAGGAGAATGGTCAGACTGGTTCGAGCTCATAGAACGACAACAGTAACTCAAGTGACCACTCATTACAATCAAGGTATGCAGAAGAGCATCTCCGAAAGCACAACACATTGAATCTTGAGGTAGATGGGTTACAGCCAATGGTGTAGCGGACAGGCCCGCAGGGCACGCACCGCGGAGGGGGGATATGGGTAGGCACCGAGCATGATTGCAGCAACTATGTGATGCTATCATGTCAGTTTGGACCAAAATCTCCAATGAATATTTTCAGTATATATATATATTTTCAGTACCTTCTTGAATCTCTGCCACAAAGGATCAAAGCAGTTCTGAAAGCAAAAGATGATCCAACCCGGTACTAGTAAGGTGTACCTAATAAAGTGGCCGGTGAGTGTAAGTGTGCAGTAGTATGCATAGTATACTATAGTATCGTATAGTATAGTAGTATAGTTTCATTGGATGCATGAACTTTGATTTGTAAAATAGTCTTTAATTTTCTTGAAAATAAACCAAAAATGGTCAAATGGTTTAAGTAACAATTCACACCATTTACTACTGGCCAACTACCAGCCTATTATTAGGATATAAACTGTTTATTAGAATTTATAAAGTATGATCTCATTTTACATCCCTAACCCTACCCAATACCTACAGTAAACCAAACTACTATCTTACTAAATATTAATAAGCAGCTAATTAGGAGTTTATTAAGCTAAAGGTCTTAGTTAATGGTTTGTTCATAGTGTAAATTGTAAATTAAAAATAAGTGTGAAAAGAGAAGAGAAAAACAATAACATTAAGCAATAATTTGCCATTTGAAATTAATTGTTTTATATGAATACATTTGAACATGTATTTAAATCCTGAAGTGGCAAAGCTGACATTTTCAACATAAAAATAAATATTTAGAACAAAAATGAAAAAATAATAATATCTGCATATCAGATTGTTGGATGTGAAATTAAAGACGAAAGTACTGATGCATTTAATATATATTCCATCAGTAATTGAAATCTGTTCAGATTCAGACTGCAGATACTGCCTTATTTTACAGCAACCTTGCAACTGAGACACGCCTGTTTCAGAACTGCTATTAAAAGTGAACTTTAGGTTCTACTGTGGACTTATTGTCCAGATGATGGATGAGTCCTTGCAAGAGGAGTAATGCGACTATATGAACTTGAGATTGGCAGTTAGAGAAGGATGAAAGCAAAGAGAGAGACATACAGAGAGAGACACAGACATGGCCAATCATACCTGAGGACCTGCAGCTCTTCTTCAGAGTTCTGCAACTCATCACTCAATCTCCTCCAGCGCAGCAAAGCCTTTAACTGTCTCTGCTCCTCAGCCTCTCTACAGCCCAACTGAGAAAACCAGAAAAGGAGAACAGATAAAAAAGCTGCAAATAAGCTAAAGCAAAGAACTTTACTTTACTATGAAGTTGGATCAAAGCAGTTAATCTAAGAAATCTTTTATAAGATTATGGGTACACTTCGTGAAACTCGGGTTTCAAGAAAAAAAAAATCTTTAATAATTAGCGTTATTAGTGTTGATCATTGAGTGTTAAGGAATTTCACCTTAATAAATTTAAGGAACCAAAACAGCTTACTTAAGTCAACTTAAACTTTAAAACATAGTGTTATATAAACTAAAACAATTGTTAAATTGCTCCAAACCGAGTGCAATACTATTTTATACGGAAGCAAAAAACAACTTTCAAAAATGATTGTTTGCTGGTTCATTCTAGAAGTAATTCCTCTATTTTACGCAACAAAGCTAAGCCCTTTAAAGATATTTTTTTTAACATACCAAAGCCACATACCTATTATATAGATATCAGATAGCAATTTTATATATTAAAAGGGACATATTAAGCACATTTTACAAGATTTTACAAGAAAATGTGAAAAGAGGTGTCTCAGAAAGAGGGAGTTTATGGAGACTGTGCTGTTTATTTAGTCATCTTAAAACTTCACATTTATAATCTTTAGTCGCTGACATAGTCTTTAGCAGGCGAAAACTCTAATGGCGGACGGCTGCTTCTCACTCAAGGCTGTTTACGCTAATGAGGGAAAGATTAACTAATGGGTGGGGCTTTCCCCCTCTGATGACATGTACAAAGGGAGAATGTCAATCAAAGTGTTTCTGCAGCCTGTTGTTATGAAGTGTCACTATAAATAAATAGAAGTAATTACTATTAGAGGCTGGCTATATTCACACACTGCAGCCACACAACTGTGTTTAAACCTCTTATAAAAAGTGATTATTGCATAATAAGTCCCCTTTAAATCAATACACTTAATGCCACATTTATTATAACTGGTTTTAGCAAAAGTTGGCTTTGTGGTTCATTATGTTCTGTTTATTGTAAGACTATAAAGTAACTATAGCAACTACGACTCCATTTGCCAAAAGTTGCCAGACATTACAGTGAAACGTTCAGTAAAAACACTTGACAGTTGACAGCTAAAAAGTTTTCTCAGTCAACAATATTAATGACATCCTTTGATTCAGTGATACAAATAGGCCCAGGTTTCCCCAAACACTCCTGTTTGACACTGGTCAGTAAGGTTAAGTACCGATAAATATATAGTTTACTGTAGTAAAGGCTACAGTATATGAAGGCAGGGCTTGACATTAACTTTTTTTGATCACCAGCCACGGTGGCTAGTAGATTTCCAACATTACTAGCCACTCGCCATTTTCACTAGCCACACTTTTCTTGTAGGGAAATATATTTTATATGCATAAATTTGACTTTGACATGCTAAATTACTTGATTTAGATGCTGTGTTATGTCCACATGCCTCCTCATTCATTTAACTTATTGTGTGTATTGTGTATTAGCTTGCTCAGTGTGCATGAGCAAATAGGTTGTCGCACTGCAATCAGTTTTTATTTCACGACTTTCCAAATTAAGCATTTACCAAATTTATCTCTGACCTCATCAAATAAGCAAACAACCAAACCAAAGAAAATATAGCTTTATAGGTACACTTTTTAGGGTTCCACTTTATATTAAGTGGCCTTAACTAATATGTACTTACATAGAATTAAATAGTTTGTTACAATGTACTTATTGTGTAAATTCATGTATTTACTGTGTACTTAAGCTTGATTAAATACATGTATGTAATTACATCTGTAAATAACTTTTGTAACTACATTTGTAAATACACTGTTGACCATCCCTTACACCTTAACCCACCCTTAAACCTACCCATGCCACCAAACCTGTACATAACCCAACCTCCTTCCCAACTCAAAAGTACCACAAGTGTTCTCAAATACATTATAAACACAGTAAGTACATTGTATTTATTTTTTTTTATGTAAGTACATAGTAGTTAGGGACACTTAATATAAAGTGGGACCCTTTTTAGTTCAACAAAACTTTTCCTAAAAAAAAAAAGATTACATTAAATGAATAATTATTGTCATGTGTCTAAAAAATGCACAGTAATCTGTCCTGGCTAAAAGTCCCAGATCACCAGTGAACTACACATAAATAGGGAGTAATCTCCCATTAAAGCAATGTTATTGTAAAGAAAAATATAATTAAACCATAATAACAAAATAACTGTAATGAAAAGAAAGCAGGTGAAACATACTGTGTTCGATAATGAAAGGATGATCACCTGTGCGCGCGTGATCATCCTCTCGTTCGGTATTTACCTTCTTTTTTGCTGTTTTGCTCGCGCGAACAAATATATTTTTGTCAGCCGTGCTGCTTCTCGATTAGATCACATTTGCATGAATATTGAGCCATCTTTATTGTCGAACCCTGCTTTTAAGAAAACTTCAATTTAAAAATGATTTCCAACCAGCCAAAGTGGCTAGTGGAGGTGTCTGTTTAATTCTAACCCACCAGAGCTGAAATCTACCCTCATTTAGCAAGTTGGCGGGTGTTAATGTGAAGCCCTGTACTAAGGTAACTACTAATAGATCATGATACAGTAGTTACTAATAATACTACATTATATAGTGTAATTTATTAATGAAGAGTTGTAAATATATATATATATATATATAATATAATGCTCATTCCTAGTATTTTAAAAGTGTAACACCTAGTTTTATTGGATTATTTGCTTTAGTTGTTATATATTAAAATTTGTTTCTGTTTAGTACAGTATATTAATTGCAGTAAATAACTGAACTAAACAATTTTGCCTAATATGTTTCATTGACGTTGTTATTGATCACTAAGATATGATTGACCTGGATTTAAGTTGCTTGGATTTAAAAATGAAAATTGCAAAAATAGCTTTAATGTATTTTTTTGTTGCTAATGGCACAAAAATCACCCTGCACAACTAACTAAAATTTTGATGTCAAGATGCAGTAAACACTTTTTTTTGTCTGGGTTTGTGGTGGATGTACTTTTAAATTAAATTAATATAATCTTAAATGATGAAAGATTTTGAAGACCTAACAGTAAACAGAGTGCTACAGTAAGGGCACACCTGCTTGGTGTAAATACTTGAAAAAAAATATCCATTAGAAACTTAAAAGTAATCAAAACGTTATCAGATGTAATTAGTTACTTTCATAAAGTAATTGAAAACGTACACTACTTATTACATTTTAAATAGGGTCATTTGTAATCTGTAATCTATTACATTTCCAAAGTAACCTCTCCAACACTGGTCAGTCAGACAAACAGAAAACCCCAACCCAAAGTCATGTCATCAGTGAACCAGTGTCGCTGACCTACAGACAGCAATCTCTGCATGTCAAATGGGGATAAGAGAAAGTCATTGAAAACATCAATAAAATGACACACTTCAGCTATAAATGCTGCTTGTTGAAAAATACATATTGGAAACATTCCATTAGCACAACAATGGCTTTCAATCCAGAGCCGGCAACACAGATTATAAATACATTGTGAATGAAGTGAAGTGCTGTGTTGATGCGGCACACAATCGCACTCCACAAGCTCTAGTTTGTGACTCATTATTAGCTATCTCGGTCATTACAGGAGAAGAAGCCTTCCGGTTAATGCCGAAAATTCAATTTAATTTCAAACTCATTTTATACTCTGACCACTCAGCATGAGCTCTAATAGGTGTGTATCAGTAATGAATTTTAGTAAACACATCACATTTAACAGTGTTTTTTTGGTGCTTTCTGTAGTTTGCAAGGTGAAAGACAGAAAATATGGGTAGGAAATAACTAGGGATACACCGGTATAGTGCTCATGTACATAAAAACTGATACCACACTGTATACATAAAGACAAAGGAAACACCAACAACAGAACAAACAGGAAGCAGAACAGAAATAGCAGAGACTAAAGATGTCTTCAAATCAAGGTAATGTCTTATAAATATATAATAAATTGTACATGGATGTCTTTATAGCTGCTGTGAGTGGGCTGATACAGTAGCATGTAGATTGGATTAAGTGTGCATACAGACATCAGACATCAATGGAAAGTTTGTAATTCTGTTAAAAATGTCCATAGAAAAAGAAGATGAAACAGCCAAACAGTAAAATGATGCACATATTGGAAGTGTTACTTGAAAGCAGGGAGAAGAAATGAGAGCACTTTAGTTGAATGACCTAGAGTACTGATACGAGCTGAACTTACATTTTAATGATTAAAACAAAATTGTGAGTTTGAAACAAGCAGATGTTACAGTGGCATGTTTAAAATTACCCAAATTAATTAAATTCATTAAGCCTAGACAAATTTTAAAACGCCAATTTGATATGTAACAAATAAAATACCCGGAGATGTCTTATTCATTCAGAGAAAATCTAAATGGACATGTTTTGCTTGCTTATGGAAGATAAAACTATGTGTAAACAAAAACATTCACTGGGATATGATTTATGTTTCATAAATGTGGTTTGCACTATGGTTAAAATGTGGTTACTTTTTCACTGAAGTGGAACATTTCTAATGTGCATTGTGATATTAAATGAAATAAAAAACATGACAGAGCAATATAATTTGCAATAAAAGTACAGAAACTTTCATACAAGGCATTTTAACAAGGATAATTAAGTGTAAAAATGTTTGAAGGAAAAATTTTTGCTAAACAAATGAAGGAAATTAACATTTAATATGTTTTTCCTCTTCCTCTGCAATATAAATGTATATCACATGAGTAGCAGTGCGATATGGCTGCATATCGGCACTGCATGGTGGGAGGCCTGCAATGGATTCATACAACAGTTTGATAGCATAATCGTGTGTTTAAAAAAAGAAAATCAAACACGGAGAGTCTAAAAACCCTTTTGTACGAGGAACTACTTTCTTCCGCCATTCATTCACATCTGCAGCTGAAGTCAGAACAGCAGAAACCATTGCTCATTCTCTAATGTCACTTTAGAGCTAGTATTTGATTCTCTAGTGTAATATCTAAGGTGATGACAAAACAGCTGATTTTGCTCATATTTTTAGGCTGAATAGCATGAAATGCCATCAGTCTACAGAGATTTCCCAATATTTCTCTGTTGCAGTCAGGACATCACAATAATAAACCCCGATAAAGCCAAAGCAACAAACACTACCGAATTACTGTTGTGTTTATAGTAAGGAAAAGTGTTAAAAAAATATGCGGGCATTTCTTCTTTTTTTCTTTTTAAAGAAGTTGTCTGCAGTAAAGAAAACCGGAGAAACAAACAGATGGCCAACCAAAAAGTCAGGGTAATACAAAGAGTGACTTACACAAAACACATAAATTCCTGATATGTTAGTCCTATCTCACACTCAATACTCTACAATTACTATGGTATAAATACAGCACTACAACACACAAAAGAGAGAGATCGACTTAGAATATCACCTAACTGTTTAATATTGATTTGATCATCTGTAGTTAGAAATTACGCTGTTTTTCTCGTAAGGCTAATTATGCTGTCTCTGTCGCCATCTTGTGGATGGATAAGGTCAACCATCATTGCTCTGCTCAGTATGACAGGCTAAAGGCTGCCGATGTGTTGTATCTCCAAAATGATAAATATTTAAAATAGGCACTATCCATTTAAATCCTTTTAAACTGCATAGATTCAATCCAAACAACTACATCCCCACATAAAAAAAGCCGCAAACTGTACTGAGTTTACTGATCTGCTTTCACTCTATGTGGTACAGTAGGGTGAAGAGGCTGTACGAGTGCTGTTATTACGGGAATATCGCATGGCTATCAGCCAATCAGGTTTGAAAACCAGACAGAACTGTTGTATGAATATATATATATGTATATATATATATATATATATATATATATTTTTTTTTTTTATTTTATTTTTTTTTTATATTTATATATATATATATATATATATATATATACGTGTGTGTGTGTGTGTGTGTGTGTGTGTGTGTGTGTGTATGTATGTGTATTTTTTTTCTTTTCTTTTCTTTTTTTTTTTTTTTTTAAATATCAGCATCGGTATTGGAAAGTACCATTATTTCTGAAACAATTCTGAGAGAAAATGCTAAAGCTAGGTTTTCATGTTTTGTTTTTGCACATGAATTAGGGAAGGCAAGGCAAGTTTATTTATATAGCACATTTCATACACAATGGCAATTCAAATTGCTTTACATAAACAAGAATAAAAGAAACAAGTAAAATAAAAATAAAAACAAATAATAAAAATGCGTAAAAAGAAAACAAAACATAAAAACAGGTAAAATGTGATATAAAAGAATGAAGAAGAAGAGAAAAACATGATAGTGCAATCTGTCGGACGCAGCACAGTGCTCATTCAGTAAAGGCACAGCTAAACAGATGTGTTTTCAGTCTTGATTTGAATGTGCCTAATGTTGGAGCACATCTGATCACACATACAAATTACAATGTAAAGGTCAATTTAGTATTTTGCTTAAAACTAATTTGCCAAAAACTTTCTCTGTGGCATGACCTCGGTTATGGAACATGTGGCCCCTTGAGATTAGAATGGCTCCATCTCTGTTTTTAAATCACTCAAAAAACATACCTATTTAGCTTGGCTTTTTAGAATTGTTTGAATAGTCCTTTCTACTTGTACATTTTTTTTCAGTCTTTTCTCTTGTCTTATGTTTATGTTTTTATAATCTGTCTTCTTATTTTACCTTGTCTTATGTACAGCACTTTGGTCAGTCTTGTGACTATTTTAAAATGTGCTCTATAAATACCTCAACTTGAACCTTTGCGTCAAGTTAACCTTCGCATAGTCACATACAATTTGCCATATCCCGATCAGTACCCTGATGCACACATCTCAAAAAATTTAACTACATGCCATAATAACGTGGAGCAAAAGATCTGTGATTGGCCGGCTTGGTAGCATTGATGAGTGTAGGCGGGGCTACACGAGAGCCATGGGAGCAAATTGAGGCAGGTGGATACAAGTGTTGAATGCACAGAGGATCTCTGGATGGACATTTTGTTTTGTGTTTATTTTATCATTAAAATTTATGAATATTTGCTGGTTTCAGATTATTATTTCTTCTCTGAAAATTTGAGTGAGTTTTTGATTTGAGTTTTTGTGTAAATTTGAATTACTTCTACAGTAGCACCATGCATTTCTGGCGTAAGTACAGTGAAACATAAGCCCCTTTCACACATACAGACCTTTCCGGAAAATTACCGGCAATTTTCCAGAAAGGTTTGTATGTGTGAACAGGCCCTTTTTGAAAATACCGGTAAATTCGTTCTGGCTATTTTCCGGAAAGAGAAGTTGTAAGATTACCGGTAATTTGCCGGAATGCTGCGCTGTGTGAATGCAGAAGGAAGATTGCCTGAAAGAGCGCGTGCACGTCTAGAACGTGCTGATGTGAGACGTCTGCTTTAGCCAATCAGAACAGTCAGACGCATTCACGTCCGTGCGGTTTGTGAGATTAAAAGCCTTTGAATATTTTCCCAGACGCGTTTAGCTGCTAAAAGTTAGTCAGATAGCGTTTAAATGTTCTTCTTAATGCCAACTGTGTAAATAATCATCGATAAGATGCTTATGAAAAGCCGCTGTTTGTTTACCTTCAAGCTGTGTGTGCCTGTGAAACAGCCTGTGAGCGCCAGCACACGCACATATTAGGAACATCTCGACATGCGAAAGTGATCCTCCATATGTTTTCATCGAAGTTGTTCACAATACTGATCATCCACAGAGTTTGTAATGTAGTCAAATGTTTACAAATACAAGCGCAGCCGTTTAAAGCTCATTTGTGGTAATTGATGTCAGAATTTAACGGTATTTTGAAATGGACGTGTGAACGGTCATTTCCGGAAAAATTCCATAACGTCCTCGCCTGTGTGAACAGCGCTTTTTTGAAAATACCGGTAAAGTCGTTCCGGAAATTTTCCAGATATTTACTGGTATCCCTGTGTGAAATGGCTATAGAAACCCCACTGCCTACTAGTGTTTCGGAAGTGTTCCTGCTAGAGCTGCACAAACTGATCATGTATGTGGTGTGGGGTATGCTGATCAATCGACACAGAAGTATGAATCAGGATTAAGTCATAGATGTCATTTCCCATGCTTTCCATTCGCTTGCTTTCCAGTCATAAGCTGTTTAAAAAACTTTTTATTATTCAATAGTACTCATGGGTCGTACTGACCACTTGTGATGTAGAGTGTCACAAAATTAAATGGAAAGGTTTAGATCAAATCTGAACAAAAGTGGTCATACAAGATAAATTTGAACAGATGATATTACCAGGTGTTAACAGTAATGCGTCTCGGCAGACTACTAAAAAACGCATGTTAACACCAGCAGGAAACAGGGCCTCAGACAAGCACTCAAAGATTCAACCATATCATAATACCTTCTGAACGTGGCTCCAGAAAACATCCTCTAAGTAAGTAGCGAAGCCCTCGCTGATCCATTCTTCTGTCCAATCCCGTGCTCCAATGGCCAGCCCGAACCAGGAATGGGCAATTTCATGGCATAACCTTGCCCCACAGAGGTTCCTCTCACCAGTTAGCACACTTTGAGACAGGAACACGATATGTGGACTGGAAAACAAGTGAAATCACAGTTGATTGATTTATTTTAGCATTTAAAAAAAGAATTAACAAAAAAAGAAAACAGACTAGGATTGAACATCACAGTTGTATTTGGTTAACTAGCAAATCAGTGGTTATAATGTTGCAGCGGGTGCTGAGCGTTCAGAGCTCTGCATTCAGCTCTGATCTAGTTATAACATGTTATAAAACTCAGCCACCCTGAAAGAACATCAAAGTGTGGGATTTTCTCTCCCGTCGACAGACTGTCGTTAAGGAGGTGGAGCTCTCAGCCAAAATGAGGCCTGTTCGCTGCCAGTGGATTTCAGAGTAGCCACCCATGCCGCACCCTTCACCAAACAATCCCGGGTGCATTTGCTAATAGCAGGCAAATTACAAGACGTATAACCATCGTCAGATGTTACTGTGAAAAATTTCCACTGTGAACGACAACAGCATAAGATGGAAAAAATGTATATAATAAGATAAGGCGCTTTTTCTTTCACTTGCGTAAGAAAAAACACAACCTCAGGATTCGGGCTGCACATAAAACCAGAAGAAATATTGTATTGTTTGCCTCCTCACTCAAAATTACCTCGAGTGACCTTTTCAACCAGATAGCCCTGTGCGTTTCGTACAGCAAATGGGCTGTTATCGAGACCATGTTCCAAACAAAGTTCTTACGAGTCAGGATAAACAAACCCGTTTCTTTTGTGTCCTAAGGCTTCAGCTCGGCCTCATAATGGTTTTCAAATGTGACACATACCGGCGAGATAGCCGAGAGCGTTTTTTCTCCTCACAAAATGAGCCTGATAAAATAATCTGAGAGCTTTATGAATGTCTTTTTACCTTTACAGCCAGACGTTCACCTTGCCCGGGTCTGGAAAGAGTTTTTTTTCTTCCCCACTGTTGCTTTCTTTACACAATGACCACAGCAACCAGCAGGAAATCAATAAAAAAGGTTGGCCTTGACTCTTGAGTTGAAGGTGGCAGGCATGCCTTTCATTCACACTGTTATGGTTCCCTGAAGTCATCAATATGTTATTTTAGTGGGATCCTGTGTGCCCAAAGAGTTTTTGTAAAGTAGAGCTAAGGGACTTAGAAAAAAGCTCAGTGTCTGGATATAGATGACAGAAAATGCCCAGCATTGTTAAAGTGAAGTGTTAAACAACAGATGCTTGTTCTTAAATGTGGACTCTATCCAAACACTAGAAAAGGGATTCTGCTACAGTTAGAGAACTTCACTATTACACATGGAACACTGGAGTCTATTTACTGACCTGATCTGATGCATATTTCTCACTAAATGGAAAAGTAGTTTCCCAATGTGGCAAGCTCTAACCTGATTGGCTAACAGTACACAATTTCCAGAAAAGAGGGAAACCTTTTTTTCTACAGGTTGACCCGATACATGCTAAAATCATTACCAGACATACAGGCAGATAGAACAACATATAGACAAAATGACAAATAATTTAAAATCATATAGACAAACTCATAGTCAAAATGATAATTAGATAATGACAAATAGATATGTTTAATATCTCAATATGAATTAAATGACAGGCTAATGAATGGAATGGTAAATGTTGCATAGACCGAAAAAGCCATACACGAAAGAGTGGATGGATGGATGGATGGATGGATGGATGGATGGATAAAACATGAATGAATAGATGGATGATGAATGGAATTGTAAAATGATTCATTGATGGAAAGAGCCATACAAAAATTGATGGATGTATGAATGAATGAATGAATGAATGGATGGATGTATAGAATAAATATATACAATACAATGGATGGAAGGAATGACAATGACTGGTAAATAAACAGATAGATTAATGGAATGAAATAATGGAATGATAGGATAACAGATGAACAGATGGAATGATAGAATGACAGATAGAAAGAATAATGGATGGATGGATGAATGAATGGAAGAAAGATAAAAAAATGACTGAATGGATGGAATATAGAGAAATGGATGGATGGATGGATGGATGGATGGATGGATGGATGGATGAATGGATGGATGCATTAATATAAAAAAGATTGAAAGGATGGATGGATGGATAGAAGGATAAAACATGAATGAATAGATGATGGATGGAATGGTAAAAAGATTTAAAGACAGAAAGAGCCATACACGAATGGATGGATGGAGGAAATATACACAATAGAATGGATGGAATGACAATGACTTGAAAATAAATGGATGGATTTATTTATTAGGGATGGAACGATGGAATGATAGGATGAAAGATGGAATGAAAGAATGATGGATGGAAGAATGATGGATGGATGGATGGATGGATGGATGGATAGATAGATGGATGGAATGATAAAAGAATTCATAGACAGAAAAAGCCATACAAGAATGGATGGATGGATGGAGAAAATATATGCAATACAATGGCTGATGGAATGACTATGGTAAATAAATGAAAAGATGATGAAGGGATGGAACGGGGGAATGATAGGATGATAGATAGAAAAATATAGAAGAATGCATGAAGAGTTGGATGAATTGATTGATAGAAAAGTGGATGAATAGAAGGATAGAAAGACATTAATAGGCATAAAAAGAACTATACATTTTCTTATACTGATGCCACATACTCAAGCACATGTAAGTCAATAAATCAATGAAAATGTTCTTGGAAGATATTTTACTAAAAGACAGAAGAATCACACACTTTCATCCAAGAACAGGATATCATCACCTGCCCTGTAATTACCAGAGGAAGCACTGAAAGTGGAATGTAATGGTTCAAATTTCAAACATGGAAAAATCGTCATCATCCTCCACTCAACAGGGCATGTCGGATTTATGGAGGAAAACTTGTTAACAAGTCATTCCACATATACATTAGTCCTCATCACTGTTTATCATTCATATTCTGTCAAATATACATACACATATAAGTTGGCAATGTAAATTTACTTGAGAAGCAACAATCCTTTACTAAAGAACTAACTGCGTATAATGTTTGAAGACTATGACCAACAAAATATGTTAAATATTTTATCAATGTAAAATTTATAAGAAAAATAAAGTTTGACATATTTGAATGTATTTATTCCAAGGGGTCTGTATCTTCTCTACATTCAATCTATTCTTGCCATTGATCATATTGACAACAAAACCAAAAGTGGTCAAACGTAATTGAGATGAAGTAACCAGCACATGGCTGTACTTTGGAGCTCTTTTGCAGTGCTGCTTGAAAAAAGATCTCATAAACACCCTGCATCCTTCCTGTTGTGAACTGTAGGAAGGCCTCCAAGAACATTAAGCAACAGCGGTAAATCCTGAACATCATTTCAATTTCAACCCCCTATTGTTTTAACAGCCAATAATGCACACCCATGAACCTGAAAACAGCATTATACAACCAGCGAGCATGTGACATTTAAGCTATTTTAGTGTGAAACCAAATTTGACTTAAAAGCTTCTTGCAAGTCAATAAGTAAATTTACATGCACTTTAAAAAGTCCAATTTTAGTCAGACTAAAGCAATAACTTGTCTTTTAAAAATGTCATGTGAATGCTTTATTCTGAAATCATGCTGTTTTTTGTCGGACTAAATGATCTAGATAATAAGATGACACTCATCTTCATGTGAGTGACCAGTAGAATGTGTTTGTGTGTACAATAGATGTCTAAAAGATGTCTACACATAGACACCTTGGATAAAACGCTGTTAGTGTCAGTGAAAATCTAATAGACATCTAACAATAGTAAAAAAAGTTACTAGCCTTCAGATAGGCAGGAATGAATGACTGCCAAGTCTGTCTATATGATGACTAGTCTATTTTTGGATTATTGTTAGATGTCTATTAGATTTTCACTGACAGCCCAAACTTATCCTTCTTTTAGTCAAGAAGTCATGTTATAGATGTCTATCATCTATAACTATTAAACACACACAAGAAAAAGCTTGCTGGCTGTAAACATTTATTTTTAATGGAAAATAAATTTGCCTCAGCAGTAAATTTGAATTTAGGGTTACGTCCACACACCCACATCCATAAAATGGTTCATTTCCACAATACAGTTTTGCAGTTTTTCAAAACAGTTCCTTGCCCATGATGAAAATTAAATCACAGCTGTAGAGAAAACTCCAAAACTCCTTTAGAATGATCTGAGAGACTTGCTTATGTCATACAAAAAATTATTACTTAAGTCATTACTGCTAAAAGTGGATCGACAGGCAACTGAAGCATAAATTTGTCAAACATTGTTTTTTTTTTTATCTTGGCTTTATTTTTGTTAAATAAACAACAGCATGGTGTGAGACGTTGTTTTGTCTTACATATTGTGTTTTGTTATGTTATGATATGGAAAGCCATTTATTTCCAATATAGTCTAAAACACAAATATGATTATAGTTCTGACTATACAGCTATTTTGAGTAAATCTTCTGTTGGTTTTTAAGGAATTTTACATAGAGACTGCTCTACAAAGAACACTGCAAAAGTAAAGAGAAGGCACAACAATAATGCCAATGAACATACTGTTGAAGTCAGAATTATTAGCCCCCCTGTTTATTTTTTCCCCAATTTCTGTTTAACGAAGAGAAGATTTTTTTCAACACAATTCTAAACATAATAATTAATAACTTATTCCTAATAACTGATTAATTTTATCTTTGTCATGATGACACTAAATAATATTTGACTAGATTTTTTTTTCAAGACATTTTTATACAGCTTAAAGTGACATTTAAAGGTTTAACTAGGTTAATTAGGTTAAATAGGCAGGTTAGGGTAATTAGGCAAGTTATTGTGAAACGATAGTTTGTTCTGTAGACAGTAGGAAAAAAATTAGCTTAAAGGGGCTAATAATTTTGTCCCTAAAATGGTGTTAATAATTTAATAATATAATAATATTTTGTCCCTAAAATTAAAAACTGCTTTTATTCTAGCCAAAATACAACAAATAAGACGTATTCCGGAAGGAAAAATGTTATCAGATATACTGTAAAAATTCCCTTGCTCTATTATTTGGG